GAACAACCAAAATAACATGCAATGTAAATTAAGTAAATTACCTCATTTAATTTGAGACAAGTTAATGCTGCTCTTGCTAGATCCCCAAGAATCGCTTGGTATACCTCTTAATTTTGTAGTTTATTTTTGGAAATTTTAATTTCTTACCTTCAGTTTGCATTTCTAACTTAGAAAGGACCTTGAACCGTATTAGTTAGTTTTCTCGTTTCGTGTGCTATTTCATAACTCTTCGACGTACGCTTTTTGTACTATATACATATATATAGTCCTTGTCAATTCGTTCGCTTGGGGTTGCTTGTAGATTATACATTCTTCCTGGTGACTTTGGACTTCATTCTCTAGGTAGTTGGGTTGGGCCGTAGAGAATAGATAAGCTTTCATACTATTGTGTCATTGATTATCGTTCCATTCACTGATATCAAGTCGTATTTTTAATTAGCGTAAGCATAGTCGTTAATAGTTACTGGTCTATGTGGTTTATTTTTGCATATATCTCATTTTTTTCGAGTATATATGTATTTACTTAGCTTCGACTTGTACACATTTTTGTGTGATACCTAGTGATTATTACTTAGCTATCCAAACGTAAGCAAGTTGAAGGGTGGGATGGCTGGAAATTGAAATTAATACCTTGTGACTAACAGCAAGTTAGTTGCTTTAGCCATGAACTTGCCTTCTCTGTTCTTACAAATCTGAACGGATAAGTTTCATATAAATCCATATCTACCTATCTATTCTGTTCAAACTTGGAAAACTATATTAAGTTCTAAGCATTTATTGTTGATGAAACATAGAATTTTGATTCTTTCATACATTTCACATAAATAGTTCAATAAATAGTCAAGATTTAAAAATAGACTTTATATACTTAACCCTAAACAAGCAGTGATTGTCAATAATCATCATCTATCATTATTAACCTGTACTTGATTGTTTCGTTACATCAAGGAAATTTTCAAAACATGGTTTTCATTTGCTTTTAAAACTAAAATGAGCTATAAACAAGAATTTGGAGAGAAGATAGAACACTTAAATTTATTTGGTGTTGATCAACGTATTTAGTCATAGTTACAGTGAAATATTTCAATTTCATAAATGACAATAACCTATTAGCTCCATTAAAATCTACCACATTTTTAGCGATCTAATATAAGATGTCATATTTCATGCAAGTTATGCTAATAAGAGAAAGATAGAAATTAAGTATTTACCTTAGTAACGATTACATTTTTCAGCTATATCAAATCAATGACTAAACTATTCATTTTTATAAACTTGTAAAATTCAATCAGATGACCTTCAATTTCACATAGGTCAGGATAAGAATTAAGTGAACTAATCCCAAACTCTTGTTTCACTAAGTTCATTATTTTCTCCCATCCAACAACTCTTTCATCGGTCAACATAGCCGATTAAGCTGTACAATTTTTTCAGTCAATATAACAGATCCTTAGCTTTTAAGTACTTCCTGTTTCGCCCTAGCTTTATGTACTATATATAGCGACATTATCATCATCATCAACAGCAACGTAGAACTTTGCACGTAAGTACAGCAGTTCAACTTGCCATACTACGTTAGCATTTAGATATAATTGTCAATTTAAATCCCATAGTAGTAGAGGTAGTAAAAGTATTAGAAGTAATCGGAGAGACTAGGGATCGAAGCTGTATTTCGAAAAGTATAGTTCAGTGAAATGAATTTAGAAGGCAAAAGATAGAGGTGATGAGGAATTCAGAAGGTTAGAATTTGAGGAAACACAAAGAATGAATGCACCTGCGCCATTGCAAACGGTTTTGAGCTATGTCATTCAGGGTCTCTAACCATCGATTATTATCATCTCGTGGACCCCAAACAGGTAGTCGACAATTACCGACATGGCTAAGTTCACTTGTCAATGACTTCATGGATTTGTGGCATGTTTTGGTTTGGCCGCCCCTAGCTTTCGTCCAACCTAATCCTACACCGCAAAATATAGCTCGTCGAGGCAGTCGATGGTTAGGCATACGCAACACATGTCCCAACCACCTCAACTAATAAAGTTTCAGTATTTCATCTATTGATTTGCCATCCTTACCTAGCACCCGTTTCCTAACAACAGCATTGCTCACTCAGTAGTCCCAGGATATATGAGCGATGCTTCGAAGACACCTATGATCGAAAACCAGTAACCTACGCATATCTTCTACTCTGACTGGCCATGTTTCACAGCCATAAAGTAGGACTGAGCGAACTATCGCGCAGTACACTCGTCCTTTATTCAGCAAATGGATATCTCACCTTCGCCATAAGTGACGCAAGTTGGCAAAAGCCAATCAAGCTTTCAGTATGCGTGTTGAGATTTCGTCAGTCACCAGGCCGTCAGTACTGATGAGACTAATGAGATAAATGAAGCTGTCAACACGCCCAACTACTTCACCGGAATAAGGACATATATCATTGAAGCTAATTATGTAAAGGGTAAGTAAACATTTTAACGAGATGAAATTTATTCGACTTACTCTCTCTTTCGACACCTACGACTAATCAAGGCTGTAGTTCTTGAACACATCCAATAAAGATTCTACTTTCAACAAGTACTTATTCTTATTATCTTAATCATGTTCCATCTTACACACACATCCTATTTCAGATAGTGAAGTGAAGAATTTAATGGACTTGTTTCGCTTTGATTAATAATAATCGGCAATATTAAAAAATCAATATATCCTTCTTTTTTGTACTTTGTTCTTGAATTGAAATTAAAAATATCTATCGTGCTCAATTTATTAATTACTGAATTTTAAATATATATATATATATATATATATATATATATATATATATATATATTATTGTCCTTGTTTTTAACTTTTTTCATTGTAATTTATTCTTGAATCAACTAGGTTCAGATCCATATGATGTATGTTGTATCTGCTTAGAGGACTATGTGGATCGTGATAAATTACGGCTATTGCCTTGTCAACATGGTGAGCATGTGTTGATGTATATAACTACACTACTATACAACAGTTTGTTTGTGATCTCGAGTTACCTTTTTTAAAAAATTTACTTTGATTGGTTTAAATCTCGATTCATCTTTCCCTGAACTATATAATAATTAGTGTTGAAATGTATTGATTGCATTTTGAATGGGTTTGAGTATGAGGGCGGATGTTACCTCCCGGCCACCCACCCCGTGGAATGGTTCTTTTTGTCAAAAGGCTCGCGAGATGATAGTAGTTGATGATTAGAGACCTTGAGCGACATGGCTTGTAGCATCTCGCCACTCATTCATTGTACTTTCGTTTGAATTATTCGATAATTGTATCGACCATAATTTTGTATTTGTAATAATACGATTATAGTATCGACTATAGTATATTTGGTTGTGTGTGGATGCTTTATCGCTTATTACATGTCTGGCCTATTATTGCTTGACTATAAATAGTTAGCAATTCTTCAGCTCATGGACAGTTAGTTGGCTCACTCGCCTTCTCCAATTCGCTCCGTGTCGCTTGTACGCTTCGCTTCTCATATTTGTCTGCATAAACGAATGCATGAAATAATTCATCCGGAACACCGTATTTGGCTTCTTACTACCATCGCCGCACAAATGGGTGTAGACTAAGTATAATATACGGAAGTGGAAAGAAGGATTTATTTCATTGCATACTCGATCATTCGTCCACACTGAAGTCCAGTAGTGAGCCACTAAAGGCTCAAAACCGTTTGTACTGGCTCAGGTGCATCAACTCCTTGTGTTCTTTCAAATTCTAATCATCTGAATTCCTCATCAGCTCTATCTTTCTCTTTCTAAATTTACCTCACTTAATTATACTTCTCGATTAGTATCCGCGAACTTTTGGATTTTAATATGGCATCCGTCCGTCATCTATATTCTCTAAATTACTTTTTAACATGATAGTAGTTGACATTGGTTCCCTAATCCTTAACATATCACTTCAACTTATAATCTCGAATTTTTCACACTAATATTTATAAACCATGGATAATCTTTGATTCATACTAAGGCATCCTTGAAAAAAACTTTAACCACTCACAAAAATTGAAGTATGGTTTATAAATATTAGTGTGAAAAATTCGAGATTATAAGTTGAAGTGATATGTTAAGGATTAGGGAACCAATGTCAACTACTATCATGTTAAAAAGTAATTTAGAGAATATAGATGACGGACGGATGCCATATTAAAATCCAAAAGTTCGCGGATACTAATCGAGAAGTATAATTAAGTGAGGTAAATTTAGAAAGAGAAAGATAGAGCTGATGAGGAATTCAGATGATTAGAATTTGAAAGAACACAAGGAGTTGATGCACCTGAGCCAGTACAAACGGTTTTGAGCCTTTAGTGGCTCACTACTGGACTTCAGTGTGGACGAATGATCGAGTATGCAATGAAATAAATCCTTCTTTCCACTTCCGTATATTATACTTAGTCTACACCCATTTGTGCGGCGATGGTAGTAAGAAGCCAAATACGGTGTTCCGGATGAATTTATTTCATGCATTCGTTTATGCAGACAAATATGAGAAGCGAAGCGTACAAGCGAAACGGAGCGAATTGGAGAAGGCGAGTGAGCCAACTAACTGTCCATGAGCTGAAGAATTGCTAACTATTTATAGTCAAGCAATAATAGGCCAGACATGTAATAAGCGATAAAGCATCCACACACAACCAAATATACTATAGTCGATACTATAATCGTATTATTACAAATACAAAATTATGGTCGATACAATTATCGAATAATTCAAACGAAAGTACAATGAATGAGTGGCGAGATGCTACAAGCCATGTCGCTCAAGGTCTCTAATCATCAACTACTATCATCTCGCGAGCCTTTTGACAAAAAGAACCATTCCACGGCGTGGGTGGCCGGGAGGTAACATCCGCCCTCATACTCAAACCCATTCAAAATGCAATCAATACATTTCAACACTAATTATTATATAGTTCAGGGAAAGATGAATCGAGATTTAAACCAATCAAAGTAAATTTTTTAAAAAAGGTAACTCGAGATCACAAACAAACTGTTGTATAGTAGTGTAGTTATATACATCAACACATGCTCACCATGTTGACAAGGCAATAGCCGTAATTTATCACGATCCACATAGTCCTCTAAGCAGATACAACATACATCATATGGATCTGAACCTAGTTGATTCAAGAATAAATTACAATGAAAAAAGTTAAAAACAAGGACAATAATATATATATATATATATATATATATATATATATATATATATATTTAAAATTCAGTAATTAATAAATTGAGCACGATAGATATTTTTAATTCCAATTCAAGAACAAAGTACAAAAAAGAATGATTTATTGATTTTTTAATATTGCCGATTATTATTAATCAAAGCGAAACAAGTCCATTAAATTCTTCACTTCACTATCTGAAATAGGATGTGTGTGTAAGATGGAACATGATTAAGATAATAAGAATAAGTACTTGTTGAAAGTAGAATCTTTATTGGATGTGTTCAAGAACTACAGCCTTGATTAGTCGTAGGTGTCGAAAGAGAGAGTAAGTCGAATAAATTTCATCTCGTTAAAATGTTTACTTACCCTTTACATAATTAGCTTCAATGATATATGTCCTTATTCCGGTGAAGTAGTTGGGCGTGTTGACAGCTTCATTTATCTCATTAGTCTCATCAGTACTGACGGCCTGGTGACTGACGAAATCTCAACACGCATACTGAAAGCTCGATTGGCTTTTGCCAACTTGCGTCACTTATGGCGAAGGTGAAATATCGATTTGCTGAATAAACGACGAGTGTACTGCGCGATAGTTCGCTCAGTCCTACTTTATGGCTGTGAAACATGGCCAGTCAGAGTAGAAGATATTCGTAGGTTCCTAGTTTTCGATCATATTTGTCTTCGTCAGTCAGATGCAACGTAGAACTTTGTACATAAGTACATCAGTTCATGTCGCCATACCACATCAGCACAGAGAAGTAATCGTCAATTCAAATCCAATAGTAGAAGAGGTAGTAAGGGAATTAGAAATAATCGGAGAGGTTAGGATTAGAAGATACTACTCAAGAAGTATGATTCAGTGAGAAAAGTTTAGAGAGTCGAAACTAGAGGTGTTGAAGAATCCAGAAGATTAGCATTTGGGAGAACACAGAGAATAAATGCACTGGCGCCATTGCGAACGATTTTGAGCCATGTCATTCAAGGTTTGTCTTCGAAGCATTGCTCGTATATCCTGGGACACCCGAGTGAGCAATGCTGTTGTTAGGAAACGGGTGCTAGGTAAGGATGGCAAATCAATAGATGAAATACTGAAACTTTATTAGTTGAGGTGGTTGGGACATGTGTTGCGTATGCCTAACCACCGACTGCCTCGACGAGCTATATTTTGCGGTGTAGGATTAGGTTGGACGAAAGCTAGGGGCGGCCAAACCAAAACATGCCACAAATCCATGAAGTCATTGACAAGTGAACTTAGCCATGTCGGTAATTGTCGACTACCTGGTTGGGGTCCACGAGATGATAATAATCGATGGTTAGAGACCCTGAATGACATAGCTCAAAACCGTTTGCAATGGCGCAGGTGCATTCATTCTTTATGTTCCCTCAAATTCTAACCTTCTGAATTCCTCATCACCTCTATCTTTTGCCTTCTAAATTCATTTCACTGAACTATACCTTTCGAAATACAGCTTCGATCCCTAGTCTCTCCGATTACTTCTAACACTTTTACTACCTCTACTACTATGGGATTTAAATTGACAATTATATCTAAATGCTAACGTAGTATGGCAAGTTGAACTGCTGTACTTACGTGCAAAGTTCTACGTTGCTGTTGATGATGATGATAATGTCGCTATATATAGTACATAAAGCTAGGGTGAAACAGGAAGTACTTAAAAGCTAAGGATCTGTTATATTGACTGAAAAAATTGTACAGCTTAATCGGCTATGTTGACCGATGAAAGAGTTGTTGGATGGGAGAAAATAATGAACTTAGTGAAACAAGAGTTTGGGATTAGTTCACTTAATTCTTATCCTGACCTATGTGAAATTGAAGGTCATCTGATTAAATTTTACAAGTTTATAAAGATGAATAGTTTAGTCATTGATTTGATATAGCTGAAAAATGTTATCGTTACTAAGGTAAATACTTAATTTCTATCTTTCTCTTATTCGCATAACTTGCATGAAATTTGACATCTTATATTAGACCGGTAAAAATGTGGTAGATTTTAATGGAGCTAATAGGTTATTGTCATTTATGAAATTGAAATATTTCACTGTAACTATGACTAAATATGTTGATCAACACCAAATAAATTTAAGTGTTCTATCTTCTCTCCAAATTCTTGTTTATATCTCATTTTAGTTTTAAAAGCAAATGAAAACCATGTTTTGAAAATTTCCTTGATGTAACAAAACAATCAAGTACAGGTTAATAATGATAGATGATGATTATTGACAATCACTGCTTGTTTAGGGTTAAGTATATAAAGTCTATTTTTAAATCTTGACTATTTATTGAACTATTTATGTGAAATGTATGAAAGAATCAAAATTCTATGTTTCATCAACAATAAATGCTGATAACTTAATATAGTTTTCAAAGTTTGAACAGAATAGATAGATAGATATGGATTTATATGAAACTTATCCGTTCAGATTTGTAAGAACAGAGAAGGCAAGTTCATGGCTAAAGCAACTAACTTGCTGTTAGTCACAAGGTATTAATTTCAATTTCCAGTCATCCCACCCTTCAACGTGCTTACGTTTGGATAGTTAAGTAATATCACTAGGTATCAAACAAAAATGTGTACAAGTCGAAGCTAAGTAAATACATATATACTCGAAAAAAATGAGATATATGCAAAAATAAACCACATAGAGCAGTAACTATTAACGGCTATGCTTACGCTAATTAAAAATACGACTTGATATCAGTGAATGGAACGATAATCAATGACACAATAGTATGAAAGCTTATCTATTCTCTACGGCCCAACCCAACTACCTAGAGAATGAAGTCCAAAGTCACCAGGAAGAATGTATAATCTACAAGCAACCCCAAGCGAACGAATTGACAAGGACTATATATATATATATATATATATATATATATATATATACACAGTACAAAAAGCGTACGTCGAAGAGTTATGAAATAGCACACGAAACGAGGAAACTAACTAATAAGGTTCAAGGTCCTTTCCAAGTTAGAAATGCAAACTGAAGGTAAGAAATTAAAATTTCCAAAAATAAACTACAAAATTAAGAGGTTTACCAAGCGATTCTTGGGGATCTAGCAAGAGCAGCATTAACTTGTCTCAAATTAAATGAGGTAATTTACTTAATTTACATTGCATGTTATTTTGGTTGTTCCGAATTCATAGAATAGTTTTTTGTAGTTTGAATGCTAACTAATCGGTAAATTTTCAAGCCAACTGTAATGAATCATGTATAAACTAAATTTTCTATTATCATCATCATCCTAGTAACAAGATATCCGACATAATAAACTTTCTCTTTTTCTTAAAAACAAACTATTTCTCATCGATTACGTTAGAAAATATTAGTGAATATTTAAATACGAAATAAAAATAATTCATTTAATCAACGAGTAATAATTAGATGTTGTAAACAATTCAATAAAATTTAGTCGCTCAAAATTTCTAAATACATTTTTAAACAGTATAAAAAAAAAACAAAGTTTACCTTTTGTATAGCGTTTTAAAACTAATCGACGTAAATGTCGTCGTGATAGACGACCACGACGAATTCGACGCCAAAAACGGCATAAATGAATTGTGAATGAAATGACCAGAACCAATAATGAAATGCCGACGACAATTAGAAGTGAAAGAAGTACATATTTCAGTGGTAAACCATAAAAGCTTACTATACTTATCATAAATCTATAAATAAAAAGCAATAATAATAATCACCATGATATGAAATTTAAATCAATCATACAGTGAATACAACGAGTGCATGCATCTGCGCCAATGCAAACGACATATATATATATATATATATATATATATATATATATATATATATATATATATATATATATAATATTGTTTACGTTTGCCAAGATGGCGTTCACGTTGTTCAATGTGATAGTATGTCGATGTGTTAGACACGGGCTCATGAAGTTAATTAATGTTTATAAACATCCGTTTTTGCTGTGGCGTTGAGACCATCATAACTTAGCATTTGACGTATGTGGCTTAGTTTCACAAATACGTTTTCAATGTTCTTGTTTTTGACCTGTTTGTTAGGAATTCTAAAAAAGAGAATTCGTTTGATGGTATGACGTACGAAGATGTCAAGACCAGATAGAATACGTATGTTTGGAGATGACACGGTCTGAAAACATCTATTTCTAATCCATATAGGTCAATGAACGTCATTCACATCTTTTAAGGTCTTCAATTTGATCTGGTCGCGCTACGCATTTCGATTTCTGGACTTAACAAATGATCACACAAGCCTATGCCCCATTAGGCGTAACTAAGTAGTACTCTAGACAATAGGTTGGCCAAAATAATCCGTCTGTAGTTATCGTAAGAAGGTTTGCGAACTTTCTTATAGGCTAGAACGACTAGCAATCCAGACATCAGAAAAAAACACTTCCAGTCCTAGTTACGATCTCAGCCATTCTAACAGCTAAACCTGAGCCATTATCCTTAGGGATCTCATGTATTACTTATCTGAGACTGCTGCTCTTCTCCGCATTTCGACTAATGATGGCTTTTTGAGCTTCCTTAAGTTAGGAGACTTATGTTGACATTCCATTCAGGTTGTTTTGTGAAAGGAGATAAAGGAAGCTGGAAAGAAGTTACACTTATTCAGAGTGTTTTGCTTGTCTTTGTAGTTTCTTGAGTTGAAAGTGGATTACTGATTCACCTTTTTCATAAATAATTTTACTAACTCTTAAATTTGTAATATCTGCTTCCTTGAGGAGTCTGTTACTTATGAGCTATGTTTTCCTCATCTCTTTGCTTTCACTAGCCACCATTACTCCTGATCAAAGCGTAGAAGTTTTTAGTTCAATATCTAAGTTGCCTTTGAGCCTCATTGTGTTCGGAGTCCGATGCGATGAGTTCCCGAGCATCTATTAGTTTAGTGGAAGCTGTTGAGTCTCAATGATTTTTCTTAACCCATCGGTTACGGTTACTTATAACTATCACTATCATTTTTACAGCTATCTAGATACTATTCCGACTCACATTGGAGTAAACATCGTTTTGTCGATTGACTAGCTGCTTCTTTAATTGTTTTCAGATATATTATTTTTTGTTGTGACGTTGAACTCTAAAGAGCTTTCTTGCCATAGCTGTTTCGCGTCCATTGAGATGCAAACGTGCTCGTACTAGAGCATGATCAGTCTAAACATGGTCTTCGACGAGATGGAGATGTACAGTAGCAAAAACTTATACAACGTATGCCTATGATTGGTTTTATTGAAGCACATTAGAAAAGTGAGCGATTTGAGAGTAACTTGCCTGATGTGTGTGAAAATGTTCGGCATGGTGAAATAAAAAATCTTTAAATAACAAGTTACACTTACTCTTTTGGGTTATTAATAGAACCATTGATTGAATAATTCATTAGTTTTAACCCAGCACGTTTATCTACCATAACAGACGGAATGATTATTTGGTTAGCAACTGTAAGGAAAAATATCGTAAAATAGTTAACTTCAGTGTGAGAGACTAACGTTCTCCGCCACTCATGGGGAATATTTTATCATTTATTGTGTTAAAAACTATAACCCCTGTATAGCCTTTCTGTTGAGCATTCAACACCTTCAAATCAAAATCACATCCTCCGCGTTGAATCAAAACGAAATACGAAACAAAAGATTGAGATGAATTCTTGTTGAAGTCTTTTGAGGTGATATTAATGGGTGGAGGTTGAATGTCCTGACATCCGTTAATCGGCTTTGCGATCACTAGGTAACCCTTAAAATGGAATAAGTAAACACCACAATAACTCACATCTCTGTGGAAAACGTCAGGTCCGAATAAGCTGACAGCATCGGAAAAACTATCTACAACTCCATCAAAGGGTAGATGACGCTGAAAATAAGTAAGATATTAATTATTAGGTAAGATTACTCAAAAGACGGTCGATGGTTTTAATTTGGTTTATACATAGTATTACTTTTATTTGCACAGTTGTTCCAAGGAAAGTTGATTTTACCGTAAACTTCTTCCCACTATCCATATAACATTTTATTTCATATAGTATTGTGGTACACTTCAGTATGCTTTGCGTTACTTGTTTTAGGGAAACAAAACAGGCACATGAAATTCTTTTAGCTACACATTATACTCCCCAAATAAATATATTTCTAACTACATAGCTCTTGAGATTATCACTTAGCCTGAAAATTACAAACAAAGTTTACTGTTGACCTATGGCTTAAAAAAAGATGACTTCGGAGTCTTTAAAAACTATAAATGGTATCAGAAATAAGGTATAATGAAGTATACTTGCACACCAGTCAGTCTATACTTTTAGTATTTTCGATGCTGTTTTTGACGTCAGGGTCTGAGGGCGAGGTCGTACTGCTGAGGTGTAAAGAGGTAAACGTAAAGAGGTGTGACAGCAGTAAGGTGTTTCCTTCGGACAACCAGCGTCTGCAGCAATGCTGCTTCCTCACAAGGAAGCAAGGATTAGAAAAGGTCGACCCAAAAATGTCACACCTCATCTTACCTCATGGATTTCCGTCACCTGTGGTAAGGTCTTTCAAACAAGAACGGAGCTAACACTTTGAATGTTACCCATAAAAAAGGCGTGCGTAACCAGCCTCAAGCAGTTGTCCCTTAGACTCATCGGTCATGCTACCAGGTCTCTACGACTAACACTAATCTACCTTCCTTTTCAGGTTCCTCAAGAAACGCGTTTACAAGCTGTGGGCAGCCGGGAAGTGACAACCCCCCTCATACCCGAGTAGATAGATGCTTGTGCGCCGTCCGACTGAACGGGACAGTGAGGATTCGGAAAGATAGGGACACTCGTCGTTGCTTCTTCATCGCATCTGCCTACGCTCCCAATGACTGCAATTCAGACGAGGTGAAAGATGAGTTTTACAGAAAGCTTTCGGGCCTACTCCAAAAAGTTAGACGTTCTGACATAGTAATAGTGGCTGGTGACTTTAATGCTCAAGGAAAGACACCTGGGTGGATCTTATGGTGTCGCGGCTCAGAGAACAGACAATGGAGACCGTCTGTTGCAACTATGCTGAGATAACCAACTATTTCTAGCAAACACTAACTTTAGGCATAACGAAAAACATCTGTTAATCTGGCGACCCCCAAAGTCGTCTCAACGTTGGACCCAACTAGATCACATCACAATCAGCCACTGATGGAAAGGTTCGATAGAGGGCAATCGCTCATTCTGGGGCACATTTTTAGATTCAGATCATGCCCTAGTGCGGGCGCGTATTTGTTTGCGATTTACCGGACGTAGGAGAGACATCTCAAGGAAACCTCTTAAGGTTCTACTTAATGATAACAGAGCTATGTATATATTCCAGAAACAATTAAGAAAACAGATAGGTGAACATGTAAGTGATTCCCATCCGGAGGCAGCTTGGAATGATATCAAAAAAGCTGTGGAAACAGCAGCGATATATGCTATTAAGGTAAACCATAAGGCTAAGAAGAAGCCGTGGATCTCCGCAGCACCCACCGAACTGACAGACGCTCGGAAACTCATCGCGCCTGGCTCTGAGCATAATGAAGAGTGAAGTCAGCTTAAGCAGAGGCTGATTAAAAAGCCTACGCAATGACCGCCAACAATGGTGGGTGGCGAAAGCAATAGCGATAGAAATGGGCAACGGTGATAGGCAACAGTAAGCAACTATTCAGACTTATCAAGGAAACCGGTATTAGGAACCCGAATGTTAGTAAGACTATCTCGGAAAAAGATGGTCTTATTATTCATTCTCAATCCAGGAGATTGGATCGATGAGCAGAACACTTTAGGGATCAGTTCAAATGGCCTTCAGCCACACTTCAGTTGCCCACGATCCCCAGTCATCCTGAATAACAAGTCGACGTGAACCCTCCGAATCTTGATAAAGTTGATTGTCACCGATTATCACAGTCTATAAGAAAGGACAAAAGTCCTCTTGTGACAGTCACAGAGGAATCAGTCTAACTAATATAGTATCTAAAATAGTGGCCTCATTAATACTCGGGTACCTAACTAGAGCTCTTGAAGAGCAGACTCGGGAAAATCAGGCTGGTTTCAGACATCGACGTGGATGTATAGACCGCATTTTCACACTAAGACAGGTCCTGGAACGCAGACACACATTTAGGCGTCCGACAATAGTTATTCTTCCTGGACATTAAGGCGGCATTTAACTCTGTGGATCGTGAGGTTCTGTGGCAGTGCCTGTTACTAGATGGTGTTCCAGAGAATTACATTAACCTTATACAGACTCTCTACTCGAACACTACTGGTCGAGTGAGAGCCTATGGCGAACTGTCACTGGAATTCTTTACTTCAAGTAATGTCCGTCAGGGATGTCCACTCTCAATTCTTGTTTAAATCTGTCGTAGATATGCTTCCAAAGTTAACATCATCGTCTGACATTTCAGGGGTGGACCTCTCTAGTTGAATAAAAGGACTACAGGTTAACCTTAAGCCCTATAGAGTATTTGGTGATGAGTTATTTCTTTCGAGCATACACGATGTTTCAGCTATTTTTAGTTATTAGCTGTCATATATTGATCATATCATAAGCAGTACAAAACAAGCCGGATACTACGACCGTTCAGAAAAATATGGACAGATTATCTAAATGGTCTAGAAACCAACAAATGCTAACGTTTCCAAATGCATCATAACAAATACTGGGTACCAGTGATTTGTGGATAGTCACCAGTCAAAACCATAATCAATCAATCGCAACGTAGAACTTCGTACGTACATACAGCAGTTCATGTTGCCATACCACATTAGCACAGAGACGCTACTGTCAGTTCAAATCAAATGGTAGTAGAGGTAGTAAAAGTATTAGCATTAATTGGAGAGATTAGGGTTCGAGGATACTATTCAAGTAAAATATAGTGAGATAGACTAAAAAAGATAAAGATAAAGTGATGAAGAATTAAAAAGTTTAAGATTGAGCGTACACAAAGAATGAATCCACCGGCGCCATTGCAAACGGTTCTGAGCCATGTCATTCAGGGTCTCTAACCATCGATTACTAACATCTCGCGGACCCCAACCAGGTAGTCGACACCTACCGACATGACTCAGTCCACTTGCCAGTTAATTCATGGATTTCTGCCACGTTTTGGTCTGGCCGCCCCTAGCTTTCTTTCATCCTACTCCTACACGACAAAACGGTGGTGGTTAGACATTCATAACACATCTCTCAACCACCTCAAACGATGGAGTTTTACTACTTCATCAATTGATCTGCCATCCTTACCTAGCACCCGTTTCCTAACAACTGCATTGCTCACTCGGGTGTCCCAGGATATACGAGCAATGCTTCGAAGACAAATACGATCGAAAACTAGGAACCTACGAATATCTTCTACTCTGACTGGCCATGTTTCACAGCCATAAAGTAGGACGGAACGAACTACTGCGCAGTACAGACAGAAAGATACAACGCAGAACTTCGTACGTAAGTACATCAGTTCAAGTCGCCATACCACATTAGCACAGAGACGCAATTATCAGTTCGAATCCAAGAGTGATAGCGATAGTAGAAGTATTAGCAGTAATGATGAGGAATTCAGAAGGTTAGAATTAGAGAGAACACAAAGAGTGGATGCACGTGCGGCATAGCAAACAATTTCGATTGCGTAGTACACTCGTCCTTTAGTCAGCAAACGAATATCTCGCCTGCGCCATAGGTGACGCAGGTTGGCAAAAGCCAATCGAGCTTTTTGTACATGGTTAAAAATTTTCGGACCTGTTTGGAAATATACAGCGTTTCGTCACCAAGATGACAAAATGCTCATAACATCGAATACGATATTTATCAGACCATGTATCAAGAATTGCTAATACCTACCAAGGAAACTAGGGAAAGAATTACACCTACGTTAACCTGGAAATCTGAGGATTGTGATACGACAGTAGACCATGTGAAAAGACCTAAGATGACCTGATTACAATATTCATATTATTCAGTAATTATTTTGTGTTTGATGACATTAACTTTCGACTTCAATTAGATTTCTAGAAATAACAGAAGTCATAAGCAAAAAACTACTAGTTAATCAGCTAGCTTTCAACTTAAAATCAAGTTACCACTGAATTTCCCTCAAAATCCAGTTAAAAATATTCGAATTGTAATTGAAAGGAAGAGTTTACTGGAGGACCCCAGAACTAACATATCTTTCCTAGAGAGAAACTGAATACATACGTAGTAGTCGTTTCATTTCAGTGAAAATACACCTCCCGATAAGGTTCGAATATGTTAGTGATTTTTTAAACTGCTCTTATGCTTTGGATTATCAAGTTTTTCTGGTTTTTTTCCCAAACATTCAAATTCTTAGCCACTCCAATCAAGACGCGATAGGAAACCAAGTCGATTACACGCTGAAGGTTGGATAACGATTACACGGCACACCAGAATGGATTACGCAAAATCATCACACTTTTTTTGTGAACATTTTCTCAATGAGGTCTTTATTATTATCATCAAAACTATTTTACTCTAAATGCTTTTCTATTTATCCAATTTATTACATCTCGTTCTGCTAATGCAGTGAAGCAGCTTGAATTACAATAGTACCCGGTAACATTATGACAACCAAACGAGTTACATAAGTAACCAGCACAGAAAACTATTCAGTGATTTTGGTATTTGTATGTTTTACAACCAGAACTGCGAGATCGGATCGTTCGCTTAACGATGAAGTCTCTGCAGTGACGTTCAAAAGCAGTGAATAAATCATGAGTTCGGTGTACTATGTTTACACATGATAACATTACAAGCCAACTGAATAAATTCGTCTCACAGACCTGAAGCTTGGACAGAGGTCCAACAATAGTTCCAGATACGAAATTACAAAAATCAATCAACCTTACCAATACATAGGTTCTTGATTCTGTCGAGACTATTTCAAGAAGAAACACAATTCCTGCAATAGCACTTAAGTAATCTACAAGTAGCATTTGAAGCACAAAGTCCGCGAGTTTCTCTAACTAACCTCGGAATTTCAAATTACAATAAATGAATTCTGTGTACTTAATGAGTATTACAGCCTGGATACGTTAAAAATAACCTAGTATTTATTGTAAAATGTTTGGAGGTTGATCTTTGGTTAACACTGTTTTGTGAAGTAAGAAATGCTACTGACGTCTTCATGGAATGGTAACAGTCCTTTGGGTTCTCACGGTTGCAATTTTTGTCAATTGATTTTTGGATTTTGCGTCTTCCTAGTGAACCTTTTTACTACTAGAACATTCCCAAAAGTTTCTATCACAAAAGTAAATGAACGGATTATGAAGACAGTATGAGACTCTGAACCTGAAGCAGCAATTCACTAAATCACATTTGGATAAGCTGTGCTACGCATCCCAGTTTCGTTTCCTCACTCCACTTCTGAATCACTGTCCGACTGGCTTTAGTGTCTTCCAATTAAAATCGTGACGGAAAGCAGAATTTTCAAGCGCTATAAATTGCAACGGCTAAAAATCCTCATCATATACCCTCTGAGTTTCGCTTCCTAAATTGTCTGAATATGATACTCGCATAATCACGGGTTGTTGTGTATTTATATTCTTAATAAATGTAAGTGCATTTTATACACTTGCTGGGTCTTCAGCTAACCTCTACCTTTGTTCTCTTTCCAGTTCTCCCCACTCATACTACTCCGTATACTCCCTGGTACAGAGGGTACCTTCTAGCTAGATATGAAGTGCCACATATATATCTGCGGCATTTTTAGTAGTAGGTTTAGTGATAAGTAAATCCCCAAAATCAATATTCATATAAGTCATTCATTCTAATCTGGTTGTTTTCGCCGTACAACCTAACTACTGGCGTTCGGTGACACATACCCACCAGATCACTGTTGGGTATCCTGTGTAACACATCTCTTCATATCGACTAGTAGAATTAGTTCACTCACTCCCCGATATCTCGTCCATCATTTAAATATACATTCGACTCTTTTCGTTGCTGACTTCTGGTCTGACTTGGCTTTGGGAATCCTGGTTCTGAAAAGTATTACAGAGAAAAGGGTTTCTCAACTCTAAGTGTCTGTTACATCCTCATTGGTGAGGATTACGTGATCTGGTACACTTGTAATGGTTTACTTTTACGAAGAAAACACAACTGCTGAAATATAAACATTTATCATTGTACTTAATTCTGACAACAATTGTTATATTGTACACCTCTTGTTTATCTGTACTAGATACTATCTCTCGCGCGCCAGGCGTGTTATTCCCATCCTCCTCTTCGCACGTCTCCTGCGTGGACGTTAGCTGTTTGTATGCCCTCGTGCCTCGATATTATTTCGATATCACGAGGCCAGTATCAGATGTACTTCTTCCTCTAGAATCTATTTCGTATTTGATTCTCAGAGTTCGTGGAGTAACATTTGTTATCCCGCGAAGAAGTATGTCGTTCGAATTGCACATTTCCTCATCGTAGTGAAGGCATAATCATGTCAGTTCACCACACAAACTATTCCTAATATATATTTACTAGTGACATTGCTGGACGTTGCGAAACATGGACAAAGTCATCCTCTGAACGCGGTTATCTAACAAATTTTCAATGGCTGTTTACTCCCTCGCAGGCATTTGTTAACAGTAGCCGTCGAGGTCAGCTAGACATCGTTTGTCAGAATGTTAAAACTTTCTCACCCGTCGATACGAAAAACCATTCGCCAAGTACCCAAGTTAGCAGGCCTGTTAATATCGACCATTACCACGGATCCACCAGAATATCATAATTTGCAAGTCGACCTTAATCAATGTAGTTAGGTGAAAAAGTACCTAGTTAAAACTTTTTCAGGCATCATTTTTTAGTTACAAGATATGCTCAGCCATATTTAAACATCTAACCAAGGGTTTTTTGATTTTCTGGTTAGATACTTACTTATGCCTGTTACCCCTAATGGAGCATGGGCTGCCGACCGGCATTCTCCAACCTACTTTGTTCTGGGCCTTCCTTTCTAGTCCTTTCCAACTGTTGCGCATTCTTCTTATATCCATCTCCACTTCTCGATGCAACCTGTTCTTCGGTTTTCTTGTGCTTGAGGCTTTCAGGGCCCCGAGTGAGGGCTTGCCTTGTGACACGGTTGTGCATTTTAATCAGTGTTTGTCCTATCCACCCCAGCATTTCTTCCTAATCTGCAATCTGATTTTTCCTTCCCCACAGTAGGCTGCGACTGATGCTGTCTGGCTCATGCATCAGATTCCTCTTGCTCATCAGTGATGCTGCCAAATTTGTAAAGGATTTTCTATACTCCTAAGGTTCTCCAACAAGTATGATTTGGTTGGTTCACGGTGAGTAGTATCTGAGGATCTCAAATATACCTTCGTGTTTTTTAGACATACTGCTGCACAGGCTGCTGCTACACTGCTCGTCTTCCATTGCATTTGTTGTTGCGTACGCAATAGAAGGGCTAGATCATCCGTGAAATACAGATTGTTCAGCTGCATCCGAGCTATCTCGTGCTTCCCCAAGACATGTTGATGTCTATGTAATACAGGTGGAAGAGGAACTGTGAGAGTAAGTAACCTCGCCTGACACCAGTCTTTATTTTTAACGAGTCTGTGAGCTGTCCCCCACTCATGATTTTACAGGTTAATCCAAAATAAGAATTCCATACAATGTTGACAAACTTTTCAGCCACTACATCGTGTCACTCTGCTTGGTCTACCTGCCGGTATTATCAGCTTGACTTGGTGTTCAGGCTTGCATGTCATGATGATAAAACCACGTCATTTGAGCTGGAACATACGTTCTTGTATGTTCTACCATGCCAGGCAGTTTCACTGGGGAATGGTGATAAACTAAAGACAGAAACTCAAGACCCGGGGGCGAAGTCGTACTTCTGACTGCAGAGATGTGTGAAAGCAGTAATGGGGTTCCCTCTGACAGTCAGCAATCGCAGCGATGCTGCCTTCCACAAGAAATGAAGACGTTACAAAAGGTAGACCTCAAAAATATCGCACCACTTCCCACCCCATGGATTCCCGTCTCCGGTGGTGGGACAACATGAAGAGCGTAGCTAACAATCTATAAACGTTTCATAAGAGGGCCGTGCCTGATCAGCCCCAAGAAGTTGGATCGGCAGTCACGCTCTCAGGTCTCTGAGACCAACACCAATTCAACTTTAATTTTAGGTTCCTCAAAAAGTCCCTTTCAGGGTATGGACCGCCGAGAATTGACACCTACGCTCATACTCGTGACAGCACACGAGACTAATCCAGTTGCTATCGAACCCTTCTCTTACTCCTTAATAGCTCTCATTTCTCCGTTACCAAGCGTTCTGACATTCCTTTATCATCCAGCGCTACCGATACAAATGATTTGAGTACGCGAAACGTTATTCCTGGTCTCTGGAAGCCCCACTCTAAACTATATATTGGAGCTCATAATGTTCGGACCTTCTGTCAAATAGGGCGACAGATTTCATTATCTAGGAATCTTGAATCCCGTAAATCAATGTGTGTTGCGACGAATGTGGGTGAAAGTTCTGAAAGCGGCCGTGCTATATATATAAGTACTAGCCCAAATACGTCACAAGTCAGGTCTTCACTAGGAATTCTGAAGAATAGAGAACAAATAACGCTGAGGATTGGAAACCGATATGAAATGTTGGCACAGCAGTTAGTTAGAACTTGAAAGGAAGGTGGAGGACGGAGTAGGTAGTAGAATCAATGTGGTCTGCTTCTGTTCCATATCGGGGAACAGGCGTAAGTAAGTAATTAAATAGTGCTCATCCCACTACGCTGTCCATATGTGTTGATTTTCAATAGATCATGTATTTGCAGACTGACGGAAAGAGCAAGTGTACAACTGCGGGTTAGAAGAATTCTATCTAGTGTTCCAGTTGGTTAGGCATGTTTCATGAGATTAATTTAGTTTCAGGCAGATTAGCTTAACCTCATTATTGCCTAACCTTTGTGAGATTTAATAACAAAACCAATACATATGAACTAATATCAAAAATTCTTTTACTATGTGGTGAGCGAGTGAAGATACCAGATCGACTATGCTTACCACTAAATCTTCCGTACGGTCATGTCACGAATATTAAAACAAATCCATAATCCAAGGTTTTATTGAAGGAGACAGTAGGTATTACATCGGGAACAGCAAATGGAGAAAGATGGCAGCAACGCGAAGAGAACGTTGCGCGCAAGAAGTGGAAGGAGTTTTTTTAGTACAGTTAAACAAAACGAGTACAATAATGTTTATTTTTCACAAATCGCATTTTCTTCGTAGAAGCGTTCCACTACAAGTATGTGACGATACCGGCGATCTCAAGGACTTCGGGCGGTCAACGGACAGTGACTACTGGGACATGAATGAATCCACGGCAGCCAAGCTCTAGACCCAATATTATTGGTTGTAAAACGCCGGTTAATATTGTTTATACTTGACGGTGGTGCACAGAAGCTAGTCATAGGTTTCAAGTTTGGTTCGGATTATGAATCAGTCTATTTGAATCTTAGTTGTTGGAACCAATGAAGCGTTTATATCCCTCAAATATTGGTGGCATGATGTTGTTGGATGCTTCCAGCTAAATAAACCTTGCAAGATAATAACCGGTGAATTCTGCCTATGAAGTTTTCGGTAGAGCATAAGTTATGACGAAAGACAGTGCAACTCCTAAAACAAGTCTACAATGATGGTGTAAACGTTTTTCAGTATTCAGGTAATCAGTTAATGATGCTTACAGTTTGCCACAGATTTGCCTGACTATTCATACTACAGGCAGACAGTCTATTTGCAGACACGCAATCTCGTACAACGTACTTGAAAAGTTTCTGCGCAATCATCATCTTTAAATTTCTCCGATACTGGTCTTCAGTACACTTGTAAGTTGAGGTTTACTAACGGGCCAAAATGTCGTCCCAGGCATCAGAGCCTATTTGTACATTTGATCAGTCAACTAAAATATATTGTCCTAATAATAATCATAACAAAATATACATGGAATCTTCAATTTTAGTGTAGCCAGAGCACAAATCCAAATGCTCCATACTAAAAGTGTGAAACTGAAAATGACCAAGATCGAAATTAATAACAGACTTGTTGAAAGTCTTATTATAAAGAAACTCAACATTCACTGTGATAGTTGCCTGATAAATACTTATAGTTCGTTTTGTAACACCCTTCTCTGTTGACCTTATGACTAAACAATCGAACGGCAGAATTTTCAAGCACTATATATCTGTGGCATCTTCAGTCTGTAACCAAATCATTCATCACACTAAACAACTTCTGTGTTAGATTACAGATTATTGACCGTTCGACGGTTTGTCCAACGTGGTCAGTTCGGTGGATGATTAACTCTGACTGATGAATCACGCGGCATAGACAGGTACAAATGTCAATGGTCTAGAGTTATACTTCTCTCATCTGTTTGTCAAGTAAAATTTTGCATTTTGAGCGCGAGAAACGCATCATTAACAGGCTTGGATTGTTGGTTAACGTAGTTAGAATTCTCTGAATTTTTTCATTGTCTTCACTAAGTTTGTCTATGTCATCTGCACGTTCTCAGTTAACATACAAATTTCCTGATAAAACTTCAACTCCTGAAAAGTCAGATGATGAAAGCTGTAAGCAGGTCAGTTACAAATTTTAATAAAAGCAGAGAAGGTGAATAGCCTTGAAGAACATCACTTGAACGTATCGATGCTGATGACAGTTCGCCATGAGCTATAAAATCAACCAGTAGGGACAAAATAGAGAGCCCATTTTAGGTCAGTGTAATTCTTTGATATAAATTTCAATGGTAGATACGCCCATGGAACCTAACAGTCTGCCGAGACAAACGCCGCCTCACGGTCTATGGAAACATCTTTTTTCAGACTCAGAATTGTGTTTATGTTCTAGGACCTGATGAAGTGTGAATATTTGGTCTATAAAGCCACGTCCAGGTCGGAAACCAGCCTCATTTTCTCTAGTCTGCTCTTCATAAGCTTTCGCTAGACGTCTAAGTATTATCGAGGCTAACAATTTAGAAACTATAGTAGTTAAACTGATTCCTCTGTGATTGTCACAAGAGGACTTTGTTCTTTTCTTGCAGACCCGGACAATCGGTGTTTGAGATCGGTTATATAAGACCACACCCGGTGCCCAGGTTCTGTCTAAGCTCTCAGTCAGTTTAACTGCTAAAACTGGACCATCATCCTTAAATATCTCAGTGGTCAATTTACCAGGTCCTGGTCCCCCCCTCGTTTTGGATTTCCCATAGCTTTTTCAACTACATTAGGAGTTGGAAGACTTTCGTCAACTTGCCATTCAGGGTGACTGGAGATTGTAAAGGGCCAGCTGGACTGCTCCCTAAATAGCTCTTCCCATAGATCCGACCCCCTGAGTTATAAATAAATGATACACCCATCCTTTCCCAAGATAGTTTAGCCAACAGATAGATTCTTTGCACCAGCTTCCTTGATACATCAGAAGAATTGCCTATTGTTACCGATCATCTCTGCCTCTTTCATCTCACTTGCTTTCGTTACCCACCACTTTTCGTGGCCACTGTGTAGGCTCCTCATTAATCCACGCTAGGGCTGACCCCGCTCTTCTTCATGCTCAGAGCCAGGCAGGATGAGTTTCCGAACATCTGCCAGTTCCGTAGTCGCCTTTCTTTCGATTGTGGCCACCATACCAGAGAATTACTCAAAGTAGAACGATTGTCCCCCTTTATATGGAGAGTTTATTTTACGTGACTCTTTCTGTCTGTCTACAAACAAATGTACCGTAATTTCAAACTATCATCGCTTTCTCCCCTTGCTTGTCTGCAGAAGAAACCGTCTACAGATAGTTTGAAACTGCTACTTCACAGTATTTTATAATCCAGTGTATTCAGGATTCTATGCACAACTTTGTACTATTATCGACATAAGTTACGTAAACTATGAACGCAAATATGTGATGGTGCTTGTACAGTTTGTCCTTCACCTTCTTGCACTATCACTTAGCCAGTTGCACACTAAATACACGAATGATTTGATCAAAGAAGTGCGCGTATAAAATATGCATCATAAATACTATTTATGTAAACAATAATAAAAGGATAAAACCAGACTATTGTTCTGTGCTCTAACTAACATAATCATTTATAGCTTTATTATTGATTGCCTTTAAACTCCCTATGGTAATATTCATGAAGTGCAAACAAAACATGTAACAATAAAATTACTAATTTATTAGTTTCAAACATCAATATTATCTTTTTTATCTGTAAAACATTGTACAATTTATTTAAAATTAAAAACAATAATATGTATTTGTTTTTTAAACGTTTTGTTTAAATTACCTCTACATTTTTTTTCAGTGATAAACTACCGAATATACTCATCATATATGTTGATTCAAAGTTAAATATTTATAAACAAATCAATTATCATATTATTATTTAAAAGCATAAGCTTATTCTACAAATTTTCGCATATTAAGTATTTTCAGAATTCATTCTGTTTCATTAATCGACTGGTGGCAGTGGACCTTTATTTGATCTACGACGTGTTTTATCAGTTTTATTTCGTTCAACATTTTGCGAAGATGAATTAGGTCGATTGGAGTTTTCTCCAGTAAAATGAACTGAGAAATTACTAGATTTTCGTTTGGGTGAATTATTATCATGTGTTTGTTCCTCAGTGGTTTGAATATTCTCACTTTTCAACTGTTCAGCTGATTCAATACTGTCGGCTTTATTTTTTTCAGCCATTGCTTTTATTTCTTCTGGTTTAAGTAAAGATGCCAAACTGAAAACGAAATTGAAGAGAAAAATATGAAAATCAGTTAATTTTTGTCAAATACCAAGCTGTACCGATGACCTTAATAGACTAAATAATTCACATCTAATAAACTTTTCAGCAAAATTCAAAGTGCAGAGAAGGACTACATGTATTTCATCAAAATAAACAAGAAATAAAGTATTTCTTGTTTTCAAATTGTTTAAAATTGACGAAAATATCATTTACTCAACCAAATAGTGACTGTAAAATAGTACTTAAGCTAAACTACTTAAAATCTAGAGTTCTGGTGCGAAATGTATGTAAATCTGCTAATATGTGATTCAAGGCATAATGAAGGGTATTTTTTGAATGAAAGGTCTTCCGATATCTCCAACCACAACTCTCTGAAATCTAACTGTTAATCTAACCCTAACCCTAAACCCTAACGTTAACACTTCTAACATTAACTTCTAACTCGAATCCTCTAAACTCTAACATCTGTAACCAAAACTTTTGCTCACTTCTTAATACCCAATACTAACCTCTACTCATTTACAACCACAAATAACTCAACATGTAAGGGTTCGTTGTTAATGTCAGAACTATTTATCCACCGTAATTTCATCACTCTTTATAGTCAATTGTTTTACAACTAAACACTGTCTCTTGATTGGCTGATAAGTCCCTCAATGTAGTCCGCGTAAGTTATTCTTTTAAAATTTTGATATAATTATATCTGTTGGCTTGTTAGATATGAAAACACAAATTAGCTCATATTATATGATATCAAACAGCAGAAGTAGGTTTGGTATCTTTTGCTGCTGATTCTATGAATGACGACTGATCAGTAGGTAAATCCAGCTGAAGAGTGACAAACAAAATAATACACATGTCATGGCTTCAACTATCATCCAAAGTACAACTTTACTAAACAGGACATCAATCTAATCACCGAAACATTTCAGTGAAGTAAAAATGATAGTGAGTCACTTAAATATGTAGCCTCAGTACTAATTGATTGGTAGAATTCGGCCTCTACTTAAAGGTGGCTATAAAAAAATTCAGTGATCAATTGGTCGCAAATATTTCGGTCCTACAACAGGTATTTGTGGACCTAATAGATGATGAACAGCAATAATATGACTTCAGACGCCACAGTTAGAACTGCTTCCCTAAACAATAACGAGTGCAGAAGATCAGGAAACCTTGATTCCAGGGTTACTAGAGATAACCTTTAACAACCAGACCAAAACTAACAGTTTCTGTCATCTACAATATATTCGTACATCTATGTGCGTCAGTTCGTAAATCAATTGTATGGAACATATCACTCTTTTCCCTCATATTAATTCATTTCCTTCCCTAAAATCAAATACTAAATCCGACTGATAACTGTTGGAAGCCTTCAATACACAAAAAATCTTTATCATTTATCAAAACAAATGAATACAGACTCTGTGTATATATAACAAGAATTTTAGTGGTGGAATCGATTAACTCACCCATGATTATCTCCTCTAGAAGGGAAAAAAGACATACAAACAGACCAGAGAATATATATACATATAAATAATAAATGAATTATATTTTCTTCAGTAAAAATTAATTTTGTAAATATCATAATATTTCAGTTTATTAATTCAGGGTGAAAGTTTTGAAAATGAAATTAAAAAAAAATATTATTTGTGTATAGAGTTATGAATGTATAGTTTAATTATTTGATTATCGATAGATATCATCATAGATCTATATTGTTTGTAATGAAAAAGTAAGTTATCTGTTTTCGATTCATAATTTCATCTAATGACTATAAAACAATTTCCACAAATCACTTTCATCAATAACAATCATGTGCTTACTAGTGACTAACTTCACGATGTATTCCTGGAGTTATAGGGAGAAGTTGCGGGGAGGGAAGTTCAATCTGTATCGCGTGAGAGACAGTTATCTGTCACAGGTAATGGGTAAAGGTTACGCAACATCAATGATTGACTGAAATTGGACATAAACACCATCGGATGTCGACTCAGTGGTATAGAGATTAAGCAGCTACGCTTGAGGCTGAAGATTCTGGTAAGGGACTCATCAGCAGGTATATAATGATGGTCTAACTTTTATCGATTCACGATTTCAAATATTTAATTTAACAATCTTCATAACCTCGTAATGCAACTACATGTGCCTACTAGTGACTAGCTCCGTGAGGAATCTTTTGCAAGTTCTAATAAGAAGTCGTAACCAGTGAAGTTCAAGCCTGTTTGGATGTAGACAATAACTACCGAAACAGTGTATGAGGTTGAGCAACTCCGTGAATTGATCAGAGTTAGACATTATCACCATTAGATACCGGTTAAGTGGTCCGGAGGTTAGGCGTTTACGTGTAAGACCGTAGATCCTGGGTTCCAATCCTATGAGGTGCAGGAGTCGTAGCTGCGCACTGTTGCTGAGTCCCAAACCAGGACGAAACGGCCGTCTAGTGCTTTCAGGTTTCTAATGGTGGCCTAACTTTGATCGATTCATGATTTCAAATGTGTAACTTAACAATCCTCACAATATTTAGAAGTCACTTAATTTTATTAATTTCTGTTACAATCGCCAGTATTTTCCCAACCTTAAAAAATCACACCAGAATGTTTTATTTTACAGTTTTATGTATGATCTTTAGTCTTTTATGAGTAGAATACACATTTTCCAATCAACCTGATGGTCTATTGATTTGCCATCAGTCTATTTTATTTTTTGCCATGAACTACACTCCATGAATGCCACTTCACTAAAGTTATGTGAAATGACATGGAATATTTATCTATTACAGTATTTCATGACTAATGTGATAGTACAAACTGTTGATAAAGAAATTACGGTTGTATTCGCTTCGCTTTTCTGAATGTGAATTATGAATTTCCTAATCTAAGGTTTGTCACTTTCGAAATTACTACAATTCAATACTTTTCAAAAATACTCTAAAAAAAATATAACATTACAACATTAAACAGATAACACATGAGAAAACATAATTGTTGACATAAATTGCTGTCACATCTCACTCAGTTAATGGTGGAGGATCAGGTAGGGGTTTGTTGAAATTATCTTTTCCAATTAACCAAAACGAATCCACTAAACCTTTGCCTTTCAACTCCACTTTACCACGTAATTGTAAATAATAACCACCCAAAATATCCAGAATAGATTTGGTGGTTGGACTAACATGAATACGAAAAGCTTTAGAAAATATATGAAAGAAGAAAGTTTAAATTATATAACTATACATGAGGGATGAAGTATTTTTAAAAAATTTTCAAAATTAATTAATTAAAGCAGGAATGAAGAGAATTTATCTTGAACTGGTATAATTCTACAAAGGTAAAGTGAAATATAGATGATTAGTAGTGGTTTTTTTAAACCTCTCTTTTCATTTGCAGTTCGTTAATTGACGTACAGTTATAAGCTGTTATTCTTACTTAATCAGTTTTATATATAAGTAACAACTCCAGTTCTCTTACATATATATTCATTTATTTCGACAACTTGAGATTGGTTCCGTGCTCTAAGCACCAGTCTAGTTTACTAAGTCATTAGCACTCACTCTCTATCCATGAGGGTTAGACGAATCTGTCAAGATAATATGATTGACTATGTAATTTATAAACTACTCTAGAAACTTACTAACACTTGAAACCATCTATAGGAATCGAAAATTACTGACATTTATGAAGATCAAGGATCGATTGGAAGTTAGACAACCATTGAAAATCTGGATAATTCCATAGGAAGACTTCAAAACTAGATGCCAGATGTACAGAGGAAGTGATGATCTAAGTAGATTGTATCTTACAGTCACTATGTTTTCAATTTGTTCATACTTTCAGTATGTTGCAAATAAAATTTCCATTCAGTCATATCTATCCACCAAATAGGCTAGGTTTACCATAAATGAGAAAGTGCAAATTTAGTCGTTCATAAATTACTAAAGCTATTATGAAGTTTCGATAACATTTAATTTTAGTTAGGTATTTTATTGATGACCTGACAATGACTATTAATTAAGTGGTAAAGTAGGGATATCAGTCATAATTACTGAATAAACTAAAATACAAAAACAGAATCTTCATTAACAATTTTATGCATTTTTAAATGTTACGGAATCTTACAAGTGGTATTTAATTTATTGCACATCTAAGCATCTGTCACAGCTCATCTTATTCTACTTTTTCTTGTCAGTTTGACAACCAATCAAAACAAATATTTATCGAAGTTTTATAGATTATACAACCATGTATTCTGGGTTTGTGGGAATTGTTAAGTTACTCACTGGAATCATGAACATAGAAACCTGGAAGCACTGGATGGCCGTTTCATCCTGGTATGGAAATCATCAACAGTGCGCATCCACGACTCCTGTACATAGCAGGATTCGAACCCAGAACCTTCAGTCTTACACGTAAACGCCTAACCTCTGGACCACTGAGCCGGTATCTAACCGTGTTAATGTCTAACTCTGATCAACTCACGGTCTTGCGTAATCTCATACACTGTTTTCGGTGGTTAATATCCACACCCGAACAGGCTTGAACTTCACTGGTCACGACTTCCCATGAGAACTCGGAGAAGACTCCTCATGGAGCTAGTTACTAGAGAGCACAGGTAGTTGCACAATGGGGTTGTGGAGATCGTTAAGTTGATGATTGAAACCCCAAACCAGGACGAGCTGGTCGTCTAGTGCTTCCAGGTTTCTAATGGTGGTCTAACAGTGATCAGTTCACGACTTCGATATAACCATGTTTAGACATTATTTATTTGTCTTAAGAACATTTTTCAACAACAGACACCATTAAGCGGGAAATAGAATATAACAAGGGTTATAGTTTCTTAGTTTTGCTGAAAAATCGATATATTATCTGATAAGTAGACGAAATGTTTGTGCAAAGATTTACCCGATCCTGTTGATTCCATTCTTGATGCAGTGTTCACTGTATCTCCAAATAAACAATATCGAGGCATAGTTAATCCAACCACACCAGCAACACATGATCCTAAAGTAAAAAAAAAATTTTATCAATCAATTATGCATTTTATTGAAGGGTTAAATTATAATATTGGTAAAATTTTTAAAGGAATTGAATGAAACATATATGTACAGCATGTTTAAAATAGTTGACGAAAAAAATTGTCATTTGCATCAAACGATCATAGGATTCATTTTAAGTGTACCTATTCATTTGAGACTTTCCGTATGACTGTTTCATAGAGGACTAGTTAAGCTCTAAACCCGAAACAACAAAGTTGTTTATAGTAGTTTTGTTTTGACCAAGTAATCAAGCAAATAAAAAGCAGACAAGTTAACGTGGATGTCTTTCTAAAGTGATCATAAAATGTTACGCGATTATTACTGTAAGATAAATATGAAAGAACTAAATTAGTTAGCATATTTTCATTTCAAACTGTTTGTTTATCTATCTAGAGGAAGATCAATCGTGATTCAATTATATGGCAGGGTAATAATTGAAAACTTTGTCAGTTGATGATAAACAGTCAGCGTTGGAATAAAATACAACAATTTTATCTATCTCAATGCTTCTAGATGCGTAAAAATAGATAAACCTATGATAGATAGTCTCTTATTTTGAAAATACTGAAAGTTTACATGGATGAAATTCAAGATCACCTAATGACGAATACTTCAAGGATAATACAACCGACTGATTCCTGCAGCCATTAGCGAAAGCGGTAATGAAGAAATTCAGTTCCAGAATGTATATTTACTACTAATAAAAATAAAATATAAGTTTTTTGAAAACAACTGAGGATTTTATAGAATAGATGGCTGTATGGCTGGTAGCTGAATGCAGAACTTGCGTCCTGCCCTATTTGATGCTCATCAACTGGATGTATTCATATTTCAGTGCTCATGATTTGGAACTTTCTGCACTTGTGGTATGAAAACATTTATACAAAAAATACATCATCACATCGAAACAATTAATCTACCTGAATGCAATCCAATGCGTAAACGAAGTGGTACATCCGGCATATGACGAATAACAAATGTTCCACATTGACTTAACAGATCTAAAGCCATCGTAGCTATTTCTCCTGCATGTAACTGACCATTACGTATAGGTAAACCAGAAACAACCATGTACGCATCTCCAATTGTCTCAACCTTAATACATAAGATAAGCGTGATTAGATATTAGTACGGTATAATGTCAAGTTTGATTCATTTCATTGAATAGAAAGTTAAACAACTACACCAAAACTACTTATTAGTATTTTGAAACTCACTAACTTAAAGTAAATAGATGGATAAGTTTTCGAAAACTGTAATACTAACTATAGAATCCCATAATTTACGAAGAGTACTAAAAACATCTACTTTCTCAACTAACAAGTTAAGGTAGAAGTATGCAAGAATTTATTGTAAAATACTACTTTCAGTTTGATCTGTAAAGTATGAAAGTGATTGCTGCAAACACTACATGAACTTTTTATCATCATTATCATTGAAAATTTTGAATTTCTTAGTTTTGAATCTGATTATAATTGAGTTATCGAATAAGAGTTCTTCTAGCTAAGAAATTCAAATATTCCAAAAGTATTTAGTCAAAATTAATTTGTTGAACGAATCTTAAAGATTTCAAAAATCAACAGCTAAGATCATGATGTGGGAAAATTAAGTTTGTTACGGTTCAGCCAATTAATTCATGCTACTTTTACTGAGTATTCATTCAAGAATTACTTTATGGTAGTCTCTTATGTGGTCCTAATTATTATTATTAGGCCTTTTAGTATTCATTTATTTATTGCGATTTAGCGATAAATATGTCACACACTTTTGTGTGTACGATGTAGTAGTCATTAACAGAACATAGTTCGTTCAAGGTTAGCTTTTTATATCTATATTATAATAATAATAATGGTTTTGAGTCTGAATAAGATAGGTACTTGTGGGCACTTATTTTGCAAATGTGAGGCGCTTGCTGTGAATGAGCAAATAATGTACCTCCAACTTTTGAATGGAATTTTCGATATAAATTTAATCGATCTGTTGTTCTTGCTCTATTCATATCTCCTATATCAGATCGTTTAATGTCATTCAATCTTATAGAATTGAACGGATCTGTATCAGCTTCGATTATATTGAAACCTAATCTTTGACAGATACTATGAATGACTATTTAGGTTGAACCAAGCAAAATACCAGTGACTTATTGGGATTGTTACAATATCAACAATGAATGTGGTTATTTCTGTTTCAATATTATTGCTGATGCTGTAACATAGAACTTTTATGTCATGTGAAAGACATTATACCCTGTGTTATTAATTTGATTATATCCTAAGCACATAAGGACACCCTTACTTCTCATTGCCTCTAGGCTATACTTTCTGGCGTCCTAGTTGACGAATTAAAAACAGACGGATTTCGTTTAGGCTGCTGAATGTAGCAGCTACAATGTTTGATTTATTGGACTCAATAATAGTAACATCTATTTGAACTTCTTAGAGGTAGTGAGTTATTATGAGGTTCTTAATATATATTTGGGTTAAATATCTTTTTGTTCAACATACTTAATAAAGTGCTGTCTACATCCGCTAAACTGAAATGTTAAGTTAAAGCATCCATAGCTGTTTATCGTCAGTGAAGCGACCTCATTTTGAATATTCTTTTTCTATGAATTACTTAACCAATTAAGTTTTCGAGACTATGGAGTAATGTGCTGCAATCTGTCTGTGTAATAAAATCACTCCTATCCTCTGCTCGCTGTGTCAGTGTTTGCTTTTATTCTTAAAAGTCCTTAAATTTGTTAACACTTTTAAGCATATCTAATTCAGCAAACGTAAATATAAGAACAATAAATATTGAATCTTTACTATTACTTAGCACACTCATTAAACCTTTCTTCCTTCAGATATTTTACATTTACACCATCACAGTTAAACTTAATTTATCTACATAATATTTGACCTGAACAGTGGAATATAGAGCCAACTGGTGTATGTGTAACAGTAAACCTATAATAGGATTTATTATTGTCCTTCTGTGCTCCATTTTATTTCCTCCAGTTGTAGATGATCACAAGTACTATACAATAGCACCGGTAACAACCCTAGATACACTGTTCTTACCTGAACAAGATGTCCTATACCCCTTGCAAAGAATTGATTGTTCCCAACTGATGCCTTACAATGTTGTATTCGATATAATTTTCCAAAGAAATCTAAACTCATACGTTTATCATTTGTCTGCTATTTGTATCAACCTGATCATGCCTGAAAACCGTCAGGCAATCTTCAATTATTTTCAGAATATATATATATATATATATATATATATATATATATATATATATATATATATATATATATATATATATATATATATATATATATATATATATATATATATATATATAAAGTCAACATGAATTAATTTGTACGCTGCTTTCTATGATTTTGCAGACGAATTCAATATGAAATAAGATATCTTGGAGCAAATCAGTTAGAAAAAAGCACTTTCATTGAGAATAGGTCACGTGACTACAAACTAAACCATTTAGGCTGAATACATCACCTAATTTTTAAATACTGCTTGTCCTTGAAGTATAACTGCTTTCCTTTTTTATTATATGCATGTTTTACGACACATTTTGTGATTAAAACCACAATTCGGCAGATATTAAAAACATGAACCAGTGGATTCTGACATTAATGGTCTACATGTTTTGTAGTTTTACTACAAAACCTACGTATTCTAAGCAGTGGGGACAGTAAATTTATTAACACCTGTTTAACATAGTGTTAATCTATATATTTACAATTTATTATCATTACTTCAATCACACAACTTACTTTATATACATCATAAAAGTCAATTGTTGAATCAAACATTGTATAAAGATCGTTTAATAGATCAACAACTTGAAATGGTGTAGACAATGCAGATATTGTAGTAAAACCAACGATATCACTGAAGTAGATTGTGACTTCATCAAATGCTTCAGGACAAACAGGTTTACCAGACATTAAAGTTTCAGCAACAACACTGTTATGAATAGGGAAAAGTTATAACATTTTGTCAAACAGTAGATAGTATAAAATCATATACGTAAATTAAATTTACAAGGGTCAGTTATCAAATAAAACTGTAGGAACACTTGAATAAACATACAAGTAAACTTAAATGTTTTAATAATTCATGTCATTTTAAAATAAGTTATTGAAGAAACATCCTATTGCAATGAATCGAATTTCGAATTAATGTTTAATCTAACATTATAGTTTAAAACTATACTTTTAATTTTTGTTTTGTTTTGTAATGGTTTAAGTGCACGTGCATTGCGTCGACGAGTCCCACAATAAGGCGAAACGCACACCCTGAATTTCACTTTTAGAATTTCTATGTATTCAGTTTAAGTGATAATAAATTACAAAATAACGAGCTGTTTATCAAATTATTTATTATCTTGATAACTAAGTTGAAATCCAATAATTTACATTTTCAAATTCATTTAATGATTTTTTTCATTATGATTAGTTAAAACTATAGCATAGTAGACCTAAAACTATGTTATTAGTCAACAGGAATCTATCAGCAATCTAGTTTTCATTATGTAAAGACTACTGTTTAGTAAAGAAGATTGGGAAAATTAATTTTGATACCTAACACATAATGAAATTAACACTCACGGGTGATGCGGCTTAGATGTGGTCACAACTGAAAGAGATTGGTACGAATAAATACGTTAAATGTACGGAATATATCCTTCCAAAGAAATATGTATCAATCACTGTTAGACCATCATTAGAAACCTGGAAGTACTGGACGGCCGCTTCGTTCTGGTATGAGACTCATCAGCAGTGAGCATCCACGACTCCTGCACCTGGCAGGATTCGAATCCAGAACCTTCGGTCTTGCGCGTGAACGCCTAACCTCTGAACCACTTAATCGGTGTCTGACGGTGTTATTGTCTAACTTGATCAATTCACAGTGAAGTTCAACCTGTTCGGGTGTAGACAGTAACTACCGAAAATAGTGTATGAGGTTGCGCAACTCCGTGAATGGATCGAAGTTCGACATTAACGTCCGTTAGATACCGGTTAAGTGGTTCAGAGGTTAGGCGTTCACGCGCAAGACCGTAGGTCCTAGGTTCCAATCCTGCGAGTAGCAGGAGTCGTAGATGTGCACTGCTGATGAGCCTCATACTAGGACGAGTTGGCCGTTCAGTGCTTCCAGGTTTTTAATGATGGCCTAACATTGATCGAATCATAGTTCCAAATTGTGTTAACTTCACAACCCCGTATTGTAAAGAAATATGTGACATCATATTAATTGACACGGTAAGTTAATAATTTGGAACTTTTTAGGTGCATCTACTATCATTATTTCAAAATTTTGTCATCATCTAACTTTTTGTCTGATACATGCAGTAGGGTTCATTTTTTGATTAAAAACCAGGAAAGTCAATGAAAACAAGACTGACTACTTAAAAATCTGATTTTCAGATGCATTTAATATACTCAAATGGTAATATTGTCTAATAGTACGACAAGTATCTATGGAGTTCAGGAAAGAGTAACAATGTATCTCCAGTGTCTCATGTCAAGTACTTATAAATCGTGAAATGAAACTAAAGAAATTGATGAAGGAGAAGTTAATTCACTAAATTGTTCTCGGAATTCCTCAGAATACCTCTACTGGAAATACTCTAAATGTATTCTGGGTCGATGATGCTCTCTAGAAAGACATATTTTCGCAATTAGACTGCTCAGCTGAAAGAACTCAACTTCATTAAACTAATAGCTAAGTTAACTCATTTATTTTAATTTAAAACTTACGGAGGAAGCATTCTTGCGATTAGTAACTCGGTCTTTTTCTTTTCAGTTTCCAATTCTTCTGTACGAACGCGTACTTGATCTTCTAAGTCAGCGGAATATTTTTCCATCATCTTGAACATATGATCTACGATGTTGATTTTTCTAAAACAGACAAATCAATAAAACCTCTTCATATTGATCATATGTATATTAAGTTAATCATTTATCATAATATTTCCAAATGTACATGAGTTTATGAATTAAATTTCTTGCATTTAATGAGTTATTCAGTTTATACTGTAGTATACATAAAAGGTGAAGCAGTTGTACAAGTAAACCTACTGAACACACTACCGAAACTCTACAGAA